GGAGAGAGGTATGGAGGCGGAGAAGACCAACAAGAACGTCCAAGTAAAAACTGGAGGCCCAATCAAACTCGAGTTCGAGTCTACATCAGCCTCCAAGACCAGCCTGTAGTAAACGGACGCCAAAACACACACAGATCTTGTTTTCGATGATCCACGTATACATGGAAAGATAATTTCATAAGGTAACCAATGGTTTGGTTTGATATCAAAATTCCACCTGAGTCAAAAGGAATTATCAGAACAAATCAACGTCCATAATCTCTCAGGGTACTACGTCAACGTCTTTTATTCTGTTGGACCGTGTATCGTCTTTGAGCCCGTTAGGAGGCGTCCATGGAGTATCATGCCCCCAAACACTATATATTGGGTCAAGGTCGCTAAAGTTAGGGTTTGGGGTTTTGCTTTAAATTAATTTGTCATAGAACGTCGTCGTCATCATTTGTGAACCCCCAAGTTCGACTGCTTGATAATACATCTGTAATCGTCACTTCAATTGAGTCGCTTTCTTTCGAGTTCATGCTAGTGTTCTTTGTTTCGCAGGTAGGGATTAGCTTTCTCGGCGAGATCAACCGGACTGTGACATGGTTGATAATCAGAGGAGTCGTGATGCTATGGTTATAGGGTTCGGTCTTTTGATGTGAAACATGATCGATGTGTCATGCTCCAACCATAACGATAGTTATCTACACTTGATGAAAGATCGGGAACTACTTCCCCATCAGTAAGTGTAGAGACAGGGCGTGCAATAAAGGTAGAAGATGAGCACGAGCAGGAAGGTGGCGGCCGTGACAGCGTGTCGGGCGGTGTCTAGTGGAGGGTGGCGGCGGCCCGCAAGGCGGCGCTCTCGCGTCCTCACGATTCATGACTTGCATGTTTGGTGGCGCTCTCACGTCCTCTCCCTCTAAACACTCGATTCATCTCCTTCTCATTCTTCTCCATCTCCGGCCTCTCCCTCTCTTCTTCCTTAATTCCGGTAGGCTTAGAAGGGGCTCAGGTGAAGCAGGCGGGCCAGGAGGTGGGAGGGGCAGCGATTATGTTTCTGATGGCGTAGGAGGCGGCTAGACCAAGTCGGGGCGGGGGCACCCATGGCCATGACGACGGTGGGGGAGGTGGGGAGAAGGAGGCATCCACGAACACGGTAGGGGCTCGTTGGGCCACGGCAACGAAAAGCTCCAGCGAGACCCTATTGCGTCGCAGCGAGGCAGTGGCGATGGCGGCGTGTTAGGCTTGAGGAAGAAAAGGCTGTGAAGAAAAAAAGAGAGTGTTTTTGTCCTCCAAAACACTCAAATGCCCCGTAGACAGACTCGGTTAAAGAGGATAGAATGTTAAAATAGAAAAAGAGTGAAGAGAAAATGAGAGAAATTTCTCAGATAAAATGAATTAACACAACTACATTTAAAGTCTTAAAGATGTGTGAACTGAGCGTAGAGAATCACAACAACAAAAATGCAGAGAGGAGTCAAATTTGTGTGGTAGGCCAGTTGACTAAACAGTGTCCACCGTTCGCGCTTTGCCTTTCCAAAGGGAGAGATCATCTCGGCTTCTCCACCGTCGTGGCCGCCATGCCTCCCTCCCCATCCTCTGGGGCGGGCGCCGCCTCGCCGTCTGGCTCCGCGTCCACCTCAGCCTTCGACCCACCCCTGTCCTGGTGGGAGTCCGTCTCGTAGGCGCGGTCCCGCATCCTGGCGCTCTCCTCCATCCTGCCCGCCATGGCCTGCCACGACGTCGCGGCTCTGGCCGACGCCGACCGCCCAGCGCACGCACTCCTCCGCTCGCTCGCCGCCTATGCGGCTTCTGGGCAAATTGTTGCAGTTGGCACTGCTGGAAGCAATGCATCAAGCTCTAGGCTAAGTTCAAAGCCAAACACACCAAGCAAGCAGTGGAAGCCCGACACGTCTAAATAAGGTCAACTGCGCTGCATCCAGGAAGAGTGTTTGTGTATGGTAAATAGTTTCTTTCTGATGAGTGTTGTGCGTGTGCCACTTGAATATTGGTGAAAGTTCAGTAGACCTTGCAATGCTCGAAACGTTTGGCGAATTTGGCCCTAGAAATGTTTGCCCACAGATGTGCTCGTTGTAGTTATTAATCTAAACCATTTCATCAATGATTTTTAGAGATCGTATCTCAGTTTATAAGTCACTATAATAATTGTATAAATATGACCACTGAGTCACTGACAATTGGATCTGGGGCATCATCCTGCTTACACATCATCCACGGAACACCTGTCTGTAGACTTACTGCCATTGCCACTGCCCAGTGAACATAAGGTCGCCCTTTTGAATGGAATGCGGCCTCAACCAGCTTATGTTCATTTTCCATCTGCAAGGCTAATTGAAATTTTACACAACAATCACCTTATATAGAATTTGAATGACAAGTTTCTTTAGTTCATGTAACTGACTTGTGATATGATTATGGGGCCTCCTACAGTGTTGATTATTCACAACTTGATTGAAGTGGTTCATCTTCTCTTCATCCACAGATCGCCGCAACAGAAAGGGATTTTTCGATTCCAGGGCATGGGTCACCTCCAAACTTGTTTGCCTGTATGAAAGGTCGAGATGGCGACTAGAGGGGGGTGAATAGTCCTTTTTAAAACTTAATCGCGTCGGCTAACCGAAACAAGTGCGGAATTAAAACTATCGGTCTAGCCAAGACTACACCCCTCTATCTATGTTTTTAGCACCTTTCAAATATACTAATTAAGCAATTAAGATGCCGGGCTAGCTAGAGCTCACCTAAGCAATTCTAGGAGTAAGGTCACAAAAACCTATGCCACTAGTACTTTAAGCGACAAGGGAGCTCCTACACATTCTAGTAAGCAAAAGCACAAAGCCACCTAAGCTCACTAGCAATGCTCAATAACAAGGCAACCAATGCCAAATTAAAGAGCGCAAATACTTAGCTACACAAACTAAGCAATGTGACTAACAAGGTTAGTCAAACCAAATTAGCCACGTAAGGGAGCTACTTCTATGCTACACAAGCAAGAAGGTAACTAATAGGCTACACAAGAAAACTAATTATAAGAGCAACTACACAAGCTTAATATATATGAAAGTGAATGCAAGCTTGTGTAATGGGAAAGCAAACCAACGGGAAGAACAAGGTTGACACGATGATTTTTCTCCTGAGGTTCACGTGTTTGCCAACACGCTAGTCCCCGTTGTGTCGACCGCTCACTTGGTGGTTCGGCGGCTAATTAGCATCACCCGCTAAGCCCAAACGTCGGGCGCCACAAGAACCTACCCCCTAGAGTGAGGGTAGCTCAATGACACGCTTTACTAAAGTTGCTCTTCGTGGCTCCCGCGGGGCGAACACAATGCCCCTCACAAAGCTCTTCTCTGGAGCCCCGCACAAGCTTCTTGCGGGCTTCGACGGAGACCACCACCAAGCCGTCTAGGAGGTGGCAACCTCCAAGAGTAACAAGTACCACCAGCTTGCAACTCGATCACCTAGTGCCACTCGATGCAACCTCACGATGCAATCGCACTAGAATCTCTCACTCACACAATCGAATAATCACTATCAAGTATATGTGTGATGGAGGGCTCCCAAGCACTCACAAGCATGGACACTAAGTCCCCTCAGGTGCTCAACTTACAGCCCAAGGCTGACCATGGCTTCTATTTATAACCCCATGGGCAAATAGAGCCGTTACCCCTTCACTGGGCAAAACTCAGGACGACCGGACGCTCCTGTCAGATTGACCAGACGCTGGACCTCAGCGTCCGGTCGTGCGATACACGCCACGTGTCCCCTCCTTCAAACGCTGTTCACTAGATCTCAACGGTCATCTGACGACCGGACGCTCCAACATGAACTGACCGGACGCAACAACCCCGGCGTCCGGTCGTTTACAGTAAGGTACCGGACATGACCGGACGCGTTCGGTCGATCGCGATCGGACGCAGCACCAGCGTCCGGTCACTTCCAGCTTCTCCTCTGTCTGCGTCACCATACGTCAGCTCTGACCGGACGCAGGACTCCAGCGTCCGGTCACTACGTGACCAGTGTCTGGTCCACTCTGTGAGACCCTGTCTTTTCTGTATAGGGCGCCGGTGGCACTGTCGGACTGTCCGCACTCTACGGGCGGACACTCTGCCGATGGAGTTTCTCCTTTCGCCTCCATTTTTTCACCGAGTTGATCCACATCAACTCCAACTTCATCTCCTTTGTAAATATGCCAACCCCACCAAGTGTACACCACCATGTGTATGTGTGTTAGCAACTTCTCAATCATTTTCCAAAGGATTAGCCACTCAACTTGCCACGCCACTCGATCCTAGTGACGATGTAAAGTTAGATCACTCGAGTGGCACTAGATGACCGATATACAAACAAGTTTGCCTCTCTTGATAGTACGGCCATCTATCCTAAACCCGGTCATAAACTTCTCTACACACCTATGACCAGTGAAATGAAATGCCCTAGGTTATACCTTTGCCTTGCGCATTCCATTTCATCTTCTACAACGTTGATGCAACACATGCACCAACACGATCAACAATGATATGATCCATTTCATATCATCACGTGATCATATTGGTTCATCGATCTTGACTTCACTTGCTCTTCACCGTTGCCATCGTCCATCGACGCCAAGTCTTGCTCAAGCTTCACCGCCACGCGGTCCATCACTCCAAAGCCTCCGACTTGCCCTTCACGCTTGCAACCGGTCCATCAAGCCAAGTCTTGTCTTAATCTTCTCCACCTTGATCACATGACTCAATGTCATGTCTCACGTGCAATAAGCTCCTTCATCATCATATGTGTGAGCTTTGCAATATCTCCAAGCCATTTTCACCTTCATGGCATATGTTGCTCACACATATGTACCTATGGACTAATTACCTGTGTATCTCACATAAACACAATTAGTCCACCTAGATTGTCATTTGATTACCAAAACCAAATAAGGACCTTTCACCGTACTGGAAGGACACACTTCCTTCTGCCTAGGCAAGCCTGAAAGAACAAAGATAGTAATTCAGTTGTTAGGAATTTGTGCTTTGTTGTAGCATCTTGGCAATACTATACCGCGTTGATGCAAATGTAGCACTGGGGTGGCAGAATTTTACATTCTTCACAACGAATTCAGACATTTCTGCATGGCAACTTCCTTGGCAGCTCCGTCCAGAATCCCTGCAGTCTTGGATAGGATTTCCATAGCTTGCAAATTCGATATCTGTTATGTGTTTGCCTTTCTGGCACCGGAGGTGAACAGCTGGATGATTTTTGCTTGACAAGAGGGATGGGGTAGAGAACTCACTGACGGTACCATAAATTCTGGTAACGAACATTTTGTTTACTGTTATTTGTAGTGGGTCGCCACCAATTTCCTCCATAAGTACAAGGAGGTTCTCTCCAGTCTTTAGAAAATTTCGAGGTATATGGTACCTTAGAAAAGAGAGCCAAACAAGACATTTTACATTGGCCAGTCATGATTGTACAAAAAGAATTTACTTTACACTAGAACTAGTTTGAGTACTGACATGGATTGAGAAGGTTTCCCACTGGGGGTTTTGAAGGAGACCCAGTACTGTCCAATGCTCTGCCCATTAATCCATACTTCACCCTTTCCCATACTAGTTAGGTTCAGTGTCACAGGGTCATTTCCCTATGGTGTGTCAAATGTTGTCTGTTAAACAACAATAATTCTCCCAAGCTGTTAATCCAAACACTAAGAGTAAACATGCAAGTCAAGTATATCAGGACCGGTGTATGTCTTGCATACCTTATACCAGATAAGCGGTAGATGTACGGACTTGTCAACTGCAGTCCATTCTGCATGAGATGATCCTTCAGATGTGTAAATTTTATTTGTTTCTCCATATAAGCCAACCTATACATTGCATACTTGAAAATGAGCATGTGATGGTGATCTAATAATTCAGAATTAACGTTAGCTTGGATTGATTTACTTGGTGTTTCCACAGCTCAATGTTTATGGAATGTGGTCTCTGCTGCCTTCGTTTTATGCTCACTTTTCGCACTCCAAAGGTTCTTCTCTCCATATATGCGCCGGAGCCCTTACAGTAGATGTATGAAACCCCAGGTCAATGCAAATTCTAGGTTTCGTGCATTCATATTTTTTCACACATTTTAAATAGAGTGAAATGCACCATGGGTCCTTAAACTTTTCATGTATTCTCATCTGGGTCCATGAATTCTCAAAGTGATCGTCTTGATCCTTCAACTTTTCAAGTGGTTCATTCTAAATTCACTCTAGGTCTAATCATGGACTTAAATTCACACTTCGAATGAACCACTTCAAAGGGACCCATATGATCACTTTGAGAATTCATGAACCCAGATGAGAATACAGGAAAAGTTTAGGGACCCACAGTGCATTTCACTCTTTTAAATACTTATGTGGACTTGTGGAGCCTTGGTCTTTCTTTTTTGCTTTTTCCATTTTCCATTTTCCATTTTGAGCTATTAGGTATCAATTCAGAAAGTATGCATGATTTCTGGCAATCTGCTTTCTTTGTTTGGCTAACTGTTCCATTTGTTCTCAACCTAAGTTGTCCTCTTTTCAGCTTTGTTCATATAAACTGGATCTAAATGGTATTACCAGCTGTGGATATGATAACATAAGGTATGACTCTAGTTATTTATTTATTTCATTTCAAGCAACACAAACACATGACAATAAGTTAGCTTTTGTTGTCTGTGACCATATGCCATATAGAATAAATTGTCATTGTACCGGTGAACCGACCATGACGCATAACAGTGATATGGAGTTCTGTCCTTCCCTTAGTGAAATAGCCGCATTAAGAACAATGTTGCCAGGTTTATCATGACTCCTGTGCACACTTCCTAATACAATATGGAAAATATATCAGACATAAATGCAATTAAGAAGTTTTAATTATTCATTAATAACTTAGCCTAGATTGAATAACATTCCCATTTCTACTTTTGTTGTGTACTCCATAAGTCCATATACTTGCAATCGTGAGTGCAATTTATGTCCTTACCAACATGATCATTGTTAATGAAAGCATGTAAAATAAGTGCATGTGACTCAACATTAAGCACTAAGTCGTCATTCCCATTTCGCCTATAGTTGTACCTGCATGATTTCATTATTATATGGTTACCAGGGTCAAGAAAGTGCTAGAAACTGGAGTAAATGCTGAATGGTATAAACTAGTGGAAGAAGCTAATCTTACGTGGCAAGGTACCAGAGATAATATGTTTCATCTTTTGTAGTTGACATGTGTTCGCATAGCTGGTTTCCAACATGTGAGATTTTACTTGGTACTGCAGGAATTGGTTCTTTGAATATTTTCCACCTATCAGCATGATTGAGAGGCTGCACTACTTGTGCTGTTCTTAAACCATGCTGAGCATTTATCTGCCATAAAATTTTCAAGAAGCATTTAAGGTGTTCAGTAAGTGAGCATTTTGAGTTTCATGAATGTAACATGCACACCTTGCCTGTTTCAAATATTAGTTCCCTGCATTGTGAGAGGATACTGATTGACTTAGGAGCTAGCTGGAACACCTCTTCACCAAATTGAATGGTTGATACCTTATGCTTGTCAAAGTTTACCAGGAAAGCCACACACCCAGAATCTGTTGCAAAAACATGCCCCTACAGTACACCAAAATTTTCTCAGTTAGATTGATTAAAATATAGTAATTTATTGGAAATATTTTTTTGAATGTAATAATTTATTGAAAATATAAAAAGCCAAGGTTACTCTAATTTCACCTCTTGTTGTTGACCAAATGAATGATTAGAATATGCTCCCCAAAGTAATGTCTCTGCAGATTGCTTTACTGCAGCATGCAGTTCTCTGAGATGAGCCCATGTCGGTTGCCATATTAATCCTGGATGTATGTTTGTTACTTTCAATGGATATTATCTAAATGTTGATGTTCTAAGGAGAGAAATGTAATTACTAAGTTTTTGAATACCACATACTATTCTTTCTATGTTTTTGAATACCACATACTATTATTTCTATTGAATGCAATTTTGTAAGAAACTCTCTATTCTTCCAAGTTCCAACTGCTACAGGATGTCTTAATTGTATAGTATCTGGAGAAAATGGTGAGTAGTATAGATCAGCAATGCTGCAAATTCAGAACTTCTACACCAAAGCTACCGTAGGGCAGTCCTAGAAAGGCTTCTATGGTGGAAGGATTCTCATTGTTCTAGTGTGAAGACAGCTACAGTTGTCAATTGTCATCGAGCATCAATTGCTGACTAGATATGCTTTATGATCTGGCGTATTGGTCTTTATGTGATCTTATACAGTAGCCCTTCTTGATCTGTGCGCCCATGTTATTAGGATATTTCATACAACAAATTTGTCGTTACTAGTTGTCAGCAGCGTGAAGTTACCAACTTACCATATTCATCAAGAGGGGCTCCATCATAATAGCTTGTTGTAACATAGGAAGATGCAACCCTTCCAAAGTTTGTTCCACCATGGTACTACATAAATCTTAACTCATGTGAGAGGAGTAATAGAAGTAGTAAGAGATTCTTTTGAAAATAGTTTTGTCAGGTCTATAGCTTCATTTGTTCTACCATGTAGTAGTTTACAAAGCTCCCTTTCTTTCTTGCTATAAACAGTGCTACTGCAAAGGCAAGGTCTGCTGCTGACCTATATCTTTGATCTTGACCATATAAAGGATAGTTGTATTCAAGGGAAATATTGTGTTAGGTGTTTTACCAAACAGAGTATATGGTAGAAATATTAGAAGAAAAGCATGAGTTCTTGCTGCACCGAGATGTCCAATTTTCTGTCCATAAAGCCGGTTTGTTTGGAGAATTTGGCCCTGGAAATGTTTCCCCACAGATGAGCCCATTGCAGGTATTAATCTAAACCATATCATCAACATTGCACTGATTTTCAAAAATCACATCTCAATTTATAAGTCACTATAATGCTATAAATATGGCCACTGAGTCACTGACAATTGGATCTGGGGCATCATCCTGCTTACACATCATCCATGGAACACCTGTCTGCAGATTTACTGCCATTGCCGCTGCCCAGTGAACATAAGGTGGCCCTTTTGAATGAAATGCAGCCTCAACCAGCTTATATTCATTTTCAATCTGCAAGGTTAATTGAAATTTTAAACAGCAATCACCTTATATAGAGTTCACAGGACAAGTGTTCTTTAGTTCCTGTAACTGACCTGTGATATGATTATGGGCCCTCCTTGTGGGTAGAATAGTCTTTCATCCTTCATCAGGTTCACTATTTTGGTAACAAACTTTTGCATATGCCTCTGCATGTTATATATGAATAATGTACCATGACAAAACAACAGTGTAAAAATGAATTTACCTCTATCCTTCACTATTTTGGTCATCGATGAGTCTGTTCTCTTTATCCTTGCCTTTTCGTTCTTTTATTTTAGTTTTTAGCCTAGGTGAAAACATGCTCTTCTCACACCATGTATGACACACTGACATTTTTAGCCTACCCCAACTTACTTGGGACTGAAAGGCTATGTTGTTGTTGTAGTATAAACTGGGTATCTTTTTGTTGCTTGCTTAAAATTATATTGAAACGTTTTGGTTATACGCTAGTAATGGACTGTTGGTACTGCAGTTGTTCTGTACTACATAAGAGTCAACGGAGAAAATATGCTGAGAAAATGTTAGTTGAATTGTTAACCATGCAAAAGGAGGCACGAAGGAAACAAGGGATTATCTTTCTATCTCAAGTATGCAATTTGAAACAGGATACCTCTTGAAGGGTTCATTGTCAGACCTGAATGTAATGTCTGGGATGCCACGTAACCAAAAGGGTAAGCCTCTGCATGAATAGAAGAAATTCAATTAGGAACTTTGTTTTTCTCCTTGTTTCTTTGTCCTGTGTATGTTTTGAAGTACTAAGAATTCAGCAAATTTTAACTATGCCTGGGGATAATGGAAATGGTAATCTTGCATTTCATGCTTTCATACCCGTATTTCCACTCCGACTCGACGAAGGGACCTATTCTGAGGCTTACATAGAGACCTTGAGCATGGATTTCTCTGATGAATTTCACCAGATCGTATCTTCCCTCGAAGTTAAACTGATCCAGCAAAAGAAAATTTGAAGAATCCATTGTTACAAAACGCTCCTATATTAAGTTCTCAATTTTATTTTGGTAGACTGTAACTTTTAAGTTTGACATATGAGATTGTATATATGTCACCTACCTGCCCTTGAACAGGCTCGTGTGCGTTCCAGAAGACGTATGTTTGAATGACATCCAGGCCACCTTTCTTGGCTTTTGCTATGAGGTCCGGCCACATCTGTATAATGAAGTTTCATGCTTCATATGATTGCTGATATAAGAATGCAATATAATGTTGTATATATATATATATTTTTTTTGAAATGTATGCAGTGCTGTGCTGTACTGCTGTGCTTGACTGTTCCAATACTCACCATCTCTGTTTTTGGCCCCTAATGAATTGGAGGCTGTATCTTAGACATCAGCAATTTTGCTTCATGAAATGCTTAAAATGATTCGGTATTTTGTATTGCTAGTTCACCTTGCATGCGAAATGAAAATTGTTTCAACAAATATTTAGGTGCCTGGGAACTTCTCGGGTGGAAAAAAATATTTACGTGCCTGCCGTTCATATTACAGTATGATCTGGTCCCTTTATTTTCCTTCTCTTTTCTTGCATGCAGTGACTCAGAGTTGTATCGACAGAACACTACAATACTTTTTTTGGAGATGCAATCTTCCATGCTGTTAAAGCAAAAGCAAATCCTGTATTTTAAAGGTAGAAGTGAAGTGCTGAATGGCTAATTTGCATTGGCCTATGGTTTTCAGCTTCAGTTGGTCTGTCTCACTTGTCAGCATTGAAACTCGAAACTAGGCAACAGCTGGGCACGGTTTTCTCATGGGCTATCAACTCTCTTGCGCCGTTTCTTGTTCTCTACCAGGCACAGGCAGCAATGCGAGCAGTAGTGACCGAGATTTACTCGACGAACGGTGCGCATGCATCGCCTGTGACCTCATGCATCGCACGGTTTCATCAAGCAGTAAAGAGCAATTCTTAAAAAAAAAAAAGGCAGTAAAGAGCGCCGAGCGTCCGGTCGGTTGCAACAGTGCAAGTGGCTAGAATTTTTATGGCGCAGTAACTGGCTAAGCTGAAGATATTCACGATCACGCCGAGTTCAGACTTCGGAGAAGGTTAAATTTGGATGCAACACGCGATCGATGAGCTTGACGACGATCAAACCTCGCCTGAGGAGATGAAAAAACCGCAAGCAAATCGAAGCGGTGCACACACGAGTACACGACGTACGCATGCATGACTGCATGAGCACTATGCGTCCAATAGGCAACATCAACATCCAGCGGCGTACCTCAGGCGTGCTGCGAGGGTAGTGCATGTCGCCGGAGAAGAGCATCCTCCTGGCGCCGTCCAGGATCAGCGCCCTGCCGTCGTACGTGACCTCTCTGCGGCCCGCCGGCGTGTTGCCTCTTTCGTCCTCAGCGGCCGCCCTCGCTCCTCTTCCCGCCGCCGCCGCCGTAGCCAGCGCCGCTGACGCGGCGACCACAACCATGATCACCGTCGCGACGACGACGCCGGTCATCTCTGCCCGTCTTGTCGTTACTGCTACCGTATGCTACGTACTGCTGCAGCTGTTGATCTGCACGCCGCAGGTAGCTAGCTAGGCTCTTCGTTCTCTCATCGCGTACGTGTACCGGTGTTGCTTATATACTACCGGACCTCTCACCGGCCGTGTACGCTGTGCGCCGAGGTAGGTTGTGAATCGCATAGGAGGCGGTAGGTTGCAAGGCTCGCATACATGCGCTGTTTTTTTTTTTTTTTTGCGCCAGTGTTAATCAATCAGTTTGGCATATTTCTCGTCCTTTTTTATTTTGTAACGAGCATATCCGTCTTCTCAGTTTTGTATCTGGGTTACCAAGGTTTTCCAAGACTTCTTGGTGCGTTTCGGTAAAGATCCCACTAAACAGGACAGCGTGCGTCTAAAGTAACCAGTGACGGAGCAACGTGTGAGTGTGGGTCACGGCCCTCCCTGGCAATTAAAGATTTAAAGTACTTCGATGTAACGGAGATTTGCACATAAATAAAAACTTTAATACCATTGCCCCCTCTGGAATTCCCATCGAACTCCGCTAAAAATAACCACTAAAAATTAAGCTTTTGCAAAATGCGACCACTACTACTGTTAAGGACGATATCAGGTAGAATTATGGGGCTGATGAAAAATGAAGCACAAGAAACCTAGGACGCAGCTGGCAACCGAAAGCAGAGGGTCAGTGTAACATTTGCCCTTTTTTTTAAAAAAAAATCACAGTACAAACACAATCATTCATACTTTCACGCACACGGATCCATACAAAGGCACATACACACATTCTATCCTTGATAGGTCTTGAAATTGACACAATCACCACAAGTGACTGGCCATTGTGATAAAAGGTTTAAAAATTTGAAGAACCTGTTTGTGTGAGCTTTCAATTATGCTTGTCAAGAAAAAAACATGAACAATACTATGTTGTTTACTGGTTTCTTAAGTTAGTGCTAATTCTTTCCTGTAGCACTGCTAGGGTTGAAAGGGTGTTTTCTATGATGAATTATGTGAAGAACAAGTAAATTAATAAAATGGGTGATGACTATTTAAACAATTGCTTGGTTATATTTATGAGAGAAAATTCTTCAATCAAGTGAAAGATGAAGATATGATCAATCACTTCCAAAAAGGAAATCACAGAGTTATATTGTAATAGCTTTTACTATTATGTAATCTTTCTAAAGTATTACAGCATGTTCGCTGGTTGGTTTCTGGGCTAATAAGTCCGACTGGTACTGATTTGTTGTGAGAGGAAAACACTGTTGGCTGGCTGATAAGCCCTGGCTGAAACCAACAAACGTACAAGCTGTTAGAGATATTGTTACAATGTCACTATGTTCACAATTTGTACTTTGGTTGTTACTATGGATTTGTTATGGTCATTAGTAAACTTTGATTATTATTATGAATGTATGGTTCAATATATTGTATATTTGAATTGTAAAACTTTTTACATGGAATACACTGTTGCAACATCCTAGCTTTGCCAATGGTCTCACGTCTTATGTCTCCTCTCTCTCGGGCACACCAAATCCGACAGCCAAATCCCTAGTTGCTGGACGTAGCTCGAGACAACATGCATGGGCCGCCCCTCTTCATATTCGCCCACTTGCCAATGAAGGAAAGAGGAGCGTGGTGGGGATGAACTGCATCTCCGCGCCATCCCTGCCCTCTGCCGCCTCGGCCTCCTCACGCCCCAGACCTCCATGTTGCCCGACCTCTTTGCTCTCTTTGAGCTCTATGCCATCCTCAACCTCCATGCTGCCATGACCCTTTGCGCGGTCTCTGGTGAGTAGTGGCCGCCTCCAACCTCGTTGAGGCCCCATGTTCTCATCCACCTCCAACCCTACCGCATTGGTCGTCGATCCAACCTCCTCGTCCGTTGACCAGTCCATATTGCCCGTCAATTTGACCTTTTGCTTCCCCAGGTGCTTCCTCGGCCACTGCCAAGAGGTGCCCAGTTGCAAGTGCCAGAAGTTTCCTCCGGAAACCGCCAGCACCACCGTGTTCGTCTCGGCTGCCTGGCACCTAAAAGCTATAGTTTGGTTTTGGTGAATTAATGAAACCCTAAGTGCTAACATAGTTCATCTAAGTGATCATGAGATAGGTAGCATTATTTCAAGTAGTGATGCCATGGTGATGATCAAATGCTTAGACTTGGAGAAGAAGAAAGAGAAAAACAAAAAGCTCAAGGCAAAGGTGAAACTTGATAGGAGCTTTTTTATTTTGGTGATCGAGACACTTAGTGAGTGTGACCACATTTAGGATCGATAGTCATACTATTAAGATGAGTGAAACTTGTATCGAAATGCAGTTATCAAAGTACCACTAGATGCTCTAACTCATTGCGTATGCATTTATGATCTAGTAGAGTGCTAACACTCTTGAAAATATTTATGAAAATATACTAACACACATGCATGAAGTGTTACACTTGGTGGTTGGCACATTTGATCAAGGGTGGTGAAGTTTGGGGTCAAAAGGAGCTATTTTCGTATTGACCACACTCTGTCTTGGACAGTGACCGGACTCTGACCCTGCGTCTAGTCAGTGGTGCGCACTAAAGGCCGCCCTCGGTCCTTTTACCGGATGCTAAGAAGAAATAGGACCGAACGCACTGGGGGTGCGTTCGGTCAGGCCATGACGTACGCTGACGCAAACATCAGAATAAGCCAGTGAGGACCGGACCCTGAGCCACGTCCGGTCACCTGTGATCGGAAGCGTCCGGTTATGTTTTTGCCTCTCTAGAACCTTACTAGAAACGACCGGACTCCAATGATGGAGCGTCCGGTCACTTTTAAGCAGTGTGTCCAGTTGAAACTTAACACGTGGCGCGAAGCAGACTAGCCGTTAAGACCGGGCGCTCAGCATTTGAGGCTGATGACATGTGGCGAGCATCGGGCAACCGAACGCTGGGGTCCTGCGTCCAGTCAACCTGACCGGCGTGTCCGGTCAGCCCGTGTTTCACTGGACAGAGGAGCCAACGACTCTATTTGTGGGGGCTCTCTATTTAAACCCCATGGCCATCTTAAGCCCCTACTCTTGGCCATTTGTATGTATATAGCAACCTTGTGAGCTTAGCCAAAGCCCTCCCATTTATTTTCATCATTGATTCATCATTTTTGTGAGATTGTGAGTGAATCCAAGTGCATTGCTTGAGTGTTTGCATCTAGAGGCACTTGGTGTTCGTGTTTCGCTCAAAATTCGCTTTGTTACTCTTGGTGGTTGCCGCCACCTAGACGACTTGGAACAGCGAGGATCATCAAGAGGAGGTTGGTGATTGTATTCGGCTTCAATTGTGGTGATTGTGAGGGCTTCTTGATCTTTCCCCAACGGAGAGCCAAAAGGTACCTAGTGGATTGCTCGTGGATTGTGTGATCCTCATCTTATGTTGGTTGTGTGGCACCCTATTGAGGGTTTGGCGTGTGATGCCAATTAGCGCGTGAACCTCCAAGTGAGTGATTCACCATAACGAGGACTAGCTTGCCGGCAAGCGAGTGAACCTCGGTAAAAAATCATTGTGTCATCATTTGATTCTCGAGGTGATTGGTCTTCATTGGTATTCATTCTTGTGATTGATTGGTTCATTCCTCGACTCGACGGTATAACCATCTTGCTCTCTCTCTCTCTCTTTATATTACCGTAAACTAGTTATCAAGCTCTTTAGTGTAGCTAATCGTGAGAGCTTGTTAGTTTGGTTAGTGTGGCTCTTTAGTTAGCCTTTGAGAGCACAATAACTTAGTATAGTGACATAGTCATTGTGTGGATAGAAACTATAAAAACTAGAATTGCGGTAGGTGGCTTGCATTTTTAGTAGGCTAGCGCAACACTCGCTTCGCCTCATATTTGTCTAACCTGTTTGCTAAATATTATTTGTAGAAAAATTTTTAATAGGCTATTCACCCCCTCTAGCCATTAGGACCTTTCAGCACTGTCCTCGAGCATGTGCGCAGGTGTATGAGAAGAGAGAGAGAGAGTTAAAGGGGATAGATGCCAGTCGCCAGGTGTGTAGGTACTTGAGAAGAGAGTAGAAGTGTGTGTGGGTGGATGTAAGTCTCCAATAACCGTTACCTAAAATACAAGACTCATTTCACGTTTGGGTAGCGCTTACAAACAATGGGTTCAATATCCATTTTTGGTCTTCTTCAACAATAAGACTCAAAAGAGAACCCTTTCTGCAAATGGGTCTCCAGGAGAGAGGATACTCACATTTGGTTTATACCTCTCCTGACACCCAAAATAGGTCTTCCATATATGTACTCTGTTGGAGGTTGTAGGTATTGTGTTGGAGACCCATTTTGAATTTGGGTCTCCTGTTGGAGATAGCCTAAGTATGAGAAAAGAAGATAAGAACTATTGGGTATCAAAGAGCTATTAGCTATATCTATTAGTTAGGATCTAAACACCTCTACAATATTTTTAATTGGTTATATTATTTTTTTTTAAAAAATTAGCCGACTAATTTAGTCATAGGAGATCCAAAAATGGTCCTGGTCCATTCAAACATGCCTTAAGAATATCTCCAAAAGACTCTCTATATCCCTTCTAAATGATAGGAATAGAAATTTTGGTGAAAAACTACTCTCTAATAGCATTTTTAAATGATCATCCAAATATAGCAATCTTCTATTCCGAATTTTTCGCTAGTCAAAAATAGAAGATGAGAATGACTCTCTAGTGTGCACATGAGATATAGAAAACTGTTGGAGAGTGAAAGAATATAGAAAACGATTTTTATGTAAATAGCTATCCAAATGATGATTTAAAAAGGCTCTAGACATGTCTAAACCTTCCTCATTCTGGTCTGGTCCTGCCTATCCATTCGGGTTCGAGCACCCTTTGCACGGAAACAAACTACGCGGAGTCGGTCGGTTCTCCTTCCCCATTTCCTTCCTCTCCTAGCACGGGTCGAGGGATGAATCAAAACCCTTCTTTCCTCTTCTATTCGAACTCGTAGCCAAAGCCCATGGCGGACATAGCCTCGTACTCATCAGTAGTGGGACCCTCGACGGTAGACGAGGCCTCTCTCAGCGATGATGGCGGGCGGCGCCGTCCGGAGAGATGACGCCAGTGGTGAAGTGGCGTGGGGGGGAGAGCAGACAGTGCGGATGGTGGGGACGCCTTCTGTTGGGTGAGCTCAAACTGCGCATCTACAAGGTCATCGGGGTGCTCCCCAAGGGTCAGACGCTGCTCTACCCCCAAGCTCATACTCAAGGACATTGATGACTCCACCCTCCTCTCCTCCATCCCATTCAAGCCCAATGTGAAGATCAGCATGATCGGGTAAGCGATGCGATTCCCCATCCCTTGCTCCTCCTTAAACCCCTTCCATCTCCTTGCTTGCGTGATTTGGGTTCAACGCGTGGTTGAACCTTACTGGAAACGACCGGACTCCAGTGATGGAGCGTTCGGTCACTTTAAGCAGTGCGTCTAGTCGTAACTTAACATGTGGTGCAAAGCAGACTAGCCGTTAAGATCGAGCGCTCAACATTTGAGGCTGATGACACATGGCGAGCATTGGGCGACCGGACGCTAGGGTCCTACGTCCCGTCAACCTGACCGGCACGTTCAGTTAGCCCATGTTTCACTAGACTGAGGAGCCAATGGCTCTATTTGTGGGGGCTCTTTATTTAAGCCCTATGACCGGCTCAAGCCCCTACTCTTGGCCATTTGCATTGATATAGCAATCTTGTGAGCTTAGTCAAAGCCCTCCCACTCATCTCCATCATTGATTCGTCATCTTTGTGAGATTATGAGTGAATTCAAGTGCACTGCTTGAGTGTTTGCATCTAGAGGCACTTGGACCACCTAGACGGCTTGGAGTAGCGAGGATCGTCGAGCGGAGATTGGTGATTGCCTCCGGCTCCGATCGTGGTGATTGTGAGGGGTTCTTGACCTTTCCCCGATGGAGAGCCAAAAGGTACTCTAGTTGATTTCTCGTGGCTTGTGTGATCCTCTTCTTGTGTTGGTTGTGCGGCATCCTATTGAGGGTTTGGTGTGTGATGCCAGTGATTCGCCACAACGAGGACTAGCTTGCCGGTAGACGAGTGAACCTCGGTAAAAAATCATTGTGTCATCATTTGATTTCGAGGTGATTGGTCTTCATTGGTATTCATTCTTGTGATTGATTGATTCATTCCTCGACTCGGAGGTATAACCATCTTGCTCTCTCTTTACATTACCGCAAACTAGTTATCAAGCTCTTTAGTGTAGCTAATCGTGAGAGCTTGTTAGTTTGGTTAGTGTGGCTCTTTAGTTAGCCTTTGAGAGCACACTAATTTAGTACAGTGACATAGTCATTGTGTGGATAGAGACTATAGAAACTAAAATTGCGGTAGGTGGTTTGTATTTTTAGTAGGCTAGCGCAACACTCGCTTCGCCTCATATTTGTCTAACCGGTTTGCTAAGTGTTGTTTGTAGAAAATTTTTAATAGGCTATTCACCTCCCTCTAGTCATTACGACCTTTTAGCACCGTCCTCGAGCATGTGTGCAGGTGTATGAGAAGAGAGAGAGGAATTAAAGGGGATAAATGTCCGTCGCCAGGTGTGTAGGTACTTGAGAAGAGAGCTAGAAGTGTGGGTGGGTGGATGTAAGTCTCAAATAACCGTTACCCAAAATACAAGACTTATTTCACGTTTGTGTAGCGCTATAGGCAATGGGTTCAATATCTATTTTTGGTCTTCTCCAACAATAAGACTCAAAAGAGAACACTTTCTGCAAATGGGTCTCTAAGAAAGAAGATACTCAGATTTAGGTTATACCTCTCCTGACACCTAAAATGAGTCTTTTCATATTTGTACTCTATTGAAAGCTGTAGGTATTGTATTGAAGATCCATTTTAGATTTAGGTCTCCTATTGAAGATAGCCTAAGTATGAGAAAAGAAGATAATAACTATTCGGTATCAAAGAGCTATTAGCTATATCTATTAGTTAGGATCTAAACACCTCTACAATATTTTTAATTGGTTATATATATTTTTTTTAAAAAAATTAGTTGATTAATTTAGTCATAGCTGATCCGAAAATGGTCCTGGTCCATTCAAACATGCCCTAAGAATATCTCCCAAAGACTCTATATCCCTTCTAAATGATAGGAATAGAAATTTTGGTGAAAAACTACTCTTTAACGGCTTTTTTAAATGATCATCTAAATATAACTATTTTTTATTTTGGATTTTTCGCTAGTCAAAAATATAAGACGAGAATGACTCTCTAGAGTGCGCTGGAGATATGAAAAACTATTGGAGAGCGAAAAAATATAGAAAATAATTTTTATGTAAATAGCTCTTCAAATGATAATTTAAAAAATGATATCTAGAAATGCTCTATACATGTCTAAACCTTCCTCGTTCTGGTCTGGTCCTGGCTATCCATTCGGGTTCGGGCACCCTCTGCACGGAAACAAACTACGCGGAGTCGGTCGGTTCTCCTTCCCCATTTCCTTCCTCTCCTAGCACGGGGCAGGGGACGAATCGAAACCCTTCTTTCCTCTTCTATTCGAACTCGTAGCCAAAGCCCATGGCGGACACAGCCTCGTACTCATCAGTAGTGGGACCCTCGACGGTAGACGAGGCCTCTCTCGCAGCGATGGCGGAGGCGGCGCCGTCGGAGGAGATGACGCTGGTGGTGAAGTGGCGTGGGCAGGAGCAGACGGTGCGGATGGTGGGGGACGCTACGCTGGGTGAGCTCAAACTGCGCATCTACAAGGTCATCGGGGTGCTCCCCAAGGGTCAGACGCTGCTCTACCCCCAAGCTCATACTCAAGGACATTGATGACTCCACCCTCCTCTCCTCCATCCCATTCAAGCCCAATGTGAAGATCAGCATGATCGGGTAAGCGATGCGATTCCCCATCCCTTGCTCCTCCTCAAACCCCTTCCATCTCCTCGCTTGCGTGATTTGGGTTCAGCGCGTGGTTGGCGTGGAATTGGAGGGTTGGTCTGTGAATATCTGCCGGGCCGCTGGGTACCGGTTGCCGAATGGATCGGAGTTCGGAGAGGTACACCTGGTGGGGATCGTGGGGGAAGTGCTCTTATTTTGAGACGGGAGTGGTGAGGTCTGGGGCTAGAATACCCGATCGCTAAACCCTAGCTTGTTTGGACTCCTTTGGTTGATCTGTCTTCGTCGTGGTGGTATACTGGTGTTCGTTATCTAATCGTGGTGCTTGGTTAGGTCTGTGAATTGAGGTATTGGAGTGGAAATTTCTGGAGTTATGGAAACCTCCAGTCCCCTACTTCCATTTTTTGTGTTTGTGATTTGGGAACCTTTTCGTGGGTTGTTCGAGTGGATAGGCGATGATGGCAGAAACATGTGCTAGGTTCAGTTTGGTCTTTATAGAGATGGGAATAAGATGTTTTAGCTGTGACAGATGTTACTACCTGCTCGAACCATAAACAATTGCAGTTTGATTACATATTCACATTTTGCTGTAAGGTGATGACTGACGAGCAGTTCATTTTGATTTGGATTAGCTTGACTGCACCAATGATCAAACCATTTGTGTAGTATTTGATGTTACTACTGTGATGATGGACAATTCTCCAAATCCTACAAATCTTAGTTTGAACTTTCTGGATTTTAGTTTACGTACCATATCGGTGGTTATTTGAGGCCTATTGGTAATGTCTGTCTTCAGTTGACATGTTACATATATAATATGATCTGATTTATTATTTCAGAGAAATCTAATCTGTTTAAAATTTGATAGATGGCGTTGGACATCCTAATCTCAAAAATAATTTGGGACTTACTATTAAAAACTTCTCAAACAAACACATTTTATTTTGGTCAGACCCTATAGTCTAAAGATTCCCAAATCTCCCAAATTTAGACCATTGCCTGTTGAATTTTGTTAAGATGCATCTGTGCTCTGCACCTTATGCTTAATCCGTACAGCCATCCTATGAAGCTTTTGTTTTCTGTTTGGACTGTCTTGCGGTCAATTTGTTTTTTATTTTTCTTTGACATAGGTGGACCATGAGTTTGTGGCTATCTTAGACTCTTAGTGTACAGTGGGTGGGATGAGACAGTTTGAGGATAAAGATGCATCTTGAGTTCATGGCAGTGAGATATTTGCGCACTTAAGTGTGCATTACTATTGGATGAAAACCTTCATATGTGTAGCAGCTAGGTTTTAGTAAGATTTGGTAAGATAATGCATAATTTTCACTGAATACCACTCCCAAATTCGATTTTGAGATCCTTTTTAAGTTTTAAAATATCTGATTGTCAGTTATTCCTATGGCTTTTAGTGAATCCTATGTGATGCCTAAGGAGTATCTCTCTGCACCATAATAAGCAATTAAGTGGTCATCCTGTCATAGTGAAGTATTTGTTGTGTGCAGTGGACCAGTTGTCTAGTTGTCTTATCTTTACTCAACATCCAGCAGGGTTATATAATTCATGTAAAGTTTTTTAATCATTCCTTTACTGTGACCATATATCTCAAACAATGTGCTTATGTTTGAAATATAAAATTTTAGACTATCTGGTTTCCTCCCTATATTTTGAAGGTTGTCATTGTTTCCTCATAGTAATTTGTATGTATTTAAAGTTGCCTCTTCTAAATTTCAGTACTATTGAAGAAGAAATATTTGTTGGCCAAGAAGATGATCCAGAGTTACTTGATGATTTTGACTTTGAGCAAAATGAAGCTACAGCCATTAAGGATAAAGATGTCTACAAGCAAAAATTAAAGCGGCGTGCAAGTCAATATAAGGTACATTTTATTATTTCTCAAGTTAATGCTATATGGTTTACATTTTTTTTTACCTATTTTAAAGTCTATATTCACTATGTTATCTGAGCAATGATTACTTAACCATAACTAAGTGTCTCTTGTTTTCTCTACCTACTTTTAATACTGGTGTTGACAACAACATGAAGGAACGGGTAGGAGTGTGTGATGCTGCTTTTGTGTTGAGCTCTTACTAGTTACTACAATGTTAAAGTTAGGCAGTGATTGATATGCTTTTTGGTGTATATTCTTATAGATCAAGCTCTTGAATCCATGCCGCAAAGGAAAGAAGCTGCTTGTCCTTGACATTGATTATACTCTGTTTGACCATAAGTCAACAGCTGAGAATCCTATGGAACTCATGCGCCCATGTAAGGGGACGTTTCGGCACCACTGTTAATCTGCTACGTTCCTCTAGTGTGCTGTCATTTAAATTGTGTGCCATAATCGTCTTTACAGATCTTCACCAGTTCCTCACAGCTGCATATTCAAAATATGACATCATGATATGGTCAGCAACTAGGTAAGCTTTTTGGCACCCTCGTCTATCAGCTAATTGGTTATGATTTTGATTTGAAACTGCTAAGGCAAAGTAGTAATAATACTAATAATACCTTTGACCCTTGGACACAGTATGAAATGGGTGGAGTTGAAAATGGAACAACTTGGAGTTCTTAGCAACCCTGACTACAAAATTACTGCTCTTATGGATCACTTGGCTATGATAACTGTGCAATCCGAAAATCAAAGTAGAAAGAAAACTTTTGACTGCAAGCCTCTTGGTGTCATTTGGGCTCAATTCCCTGAGGTTAGTATTCTATTTCTGTGCTTCTTGTATTACCAATTTAATGTGAAACCGTGTTGGGTTCTCATCCAATTCTTTGCTCACTTGCTGTATCTTCTCCATATGCAGTACTACAACGAAAAGAACACCATCATGTTTGATGATCTAAGAAGGAATTTCGTCATGAATCCACAGAACGGTCTCGTGATCAAGCCATTTAGGAAAGCGCACTGGAACAGGCATGATGATCACGAGCTGGTGAAGCTTACACACTACCTGCTTTCGATCGGAGACCTAGAAGATCTCAGCAAGCTGGACCACGGTAAATGGGAGTCCTTTGTAGATGAGAGCGCAAAGAGACGCAAGCACTCTTAGCTTCGTTCGGTATAGTGACTTTCAGAAAGAAAAACAGAACACCCATTTTGTTTTGTTTTCAGTGCTATGGATAGCACGCAGATTAGAGTAACCCCAGGATTTACTTAGAACATTTTGGGGCTTCAGCCTCGTCAGGTTACATTACTTCCTGAATCTCTGCTCAGTTAAAACTTGAATTTTACGCTGATTTTTGACCATCTTTGTGCCCCACGCTGACTTCCGTTCCAGCTTGCCTCTGCAGTTGTCTGCAACAATTATTAGGCTGCTGAGCCATTCATGAGCATGGCCCTTGTTGGATTATGATGGGGCCTTGACTGGGCTGAGCTGGGTGTACTTAGTAGTAGGGGTCTTCTTCTGGCTCTTGTAAGGCCACCATAATATCTGAGTGATGGTGCTGATGCTGCAGGCTATATGACATGTGTGTAGGAAACAGTGATGGTCCCGGTCTAGCGCGTGCAGCTGTCTGTTCATAATTCAGCGTGCCCGTAGCCGCAAGGACCGCCTTGATAAATACTCGTTGCTTGCTATGCTGATGAAAGGGGTAGCTGTACCGGAGCCAATATTTACTGGGCAGAGACAGACCTGTGGTAGTATTTGGTGTGACAACTGTATCAAGGGTGGTGGTTGGGGTTTAATACCCGTATCAAATGCCAGATTCTTATTAGCAACATATGCCCGCTTTAGAGCTTCGGTGCTGAAGCTCTGTGGCCATTTAAGTATAATAACCAAGCAAATCTGAAACATTATTTTTGTTGTTAGATAGAGGCCTGCCCAAGGTAACATATCTGGGAACACGTCGTCGTACTCGGCAATAGTAGCATCATCAGTGGCAGGACTTGGGGATTGGGACTTTGGGAGCGATGAACAACGATATTGAGCTTGTTCGGTTGGTATTAAAGCCTCGTATTAAAGCCTGATAAGTTGGCTGAAGCAATTTTTGTTGTGAGAGAAAAATACCGTAGACTCTAGCTGATAAGCCGGCAAGCGAGTGTTTTTTTTTTGTGTGTGTGGAAATTCGGCAGAACTGGGGTTCTGTATCTGGATCCTGGTGGATGATCCATGATGTCGCAGCACTGCCATCTGCGTCGTCACCTGCCATCGGTAATAATAATCGTTTTAATTCTTTGCCCCGTTGCCTCCCAAACCCGCGACCATGAAGCGGTGTCGCAGTGCCGCACTGGTTTAACTTGTGCTTCAGAGGATAGTGGCAGGCGGAACGGGACCGATTTATAGTACTGTGCGTAGTATGAAATACCCAATGCCACTGAACTTCCCTTCTCGCAACCAAGCTTGAGGGCGAGTCGCATGTCCAATTTCGAGCTACTGCATTGGAAACGCGCAACCAAGCTTGAGGGCGAGTCGCATGTCCAATTTCGAGCTACTGCATTGGAAACGTCGCCTTGGTCTTGCCGATGTTTTCGTCCTGATTTTGCGCTGTTCTCTCGTGGTTACGCAATCAGGCTCGTCCGGTAGCGTAATCGGCAAACAAAGAGCCAGCCAGCCTCCCCAAGTCAATTCCAGCAAACAAGAAACACCGTACAACAGAATTGGTCATTTATGCAGCATTACATGATTGTCCAGTACAGATTACACGCACGATGAAGACTCGCAGGGAAGATACAGGTTTGTAGGAGGGTGGTCAGATTTGGGGGCTCTTTTGGCTTTACAACAGGAGGCAGGACGATCCACGGACGCATACACGGCATGGCAGAGGGAGAGAGAGGGTTTTTCTTGAGACGCACTTGGTTACACGAAATGACTGCAGATATACGGGAGTAAAATACGATCATGTAGCAGTAGCAGCAGCAACTAGTAGGTAAAATGGTTGTCAGGCCAGGAGCCAGAAGTTCTTCTGCCACCGGGTGCTGACGAGGTACCCACCCACGCCCTTGCTCTGCTTCCTCACCGCCAGCGTCAGGCACTCCGCCTGGTTGATGCACTGCTCCACAAACTCCTCGCTGGTGCTCCGTAGGAAGCTGAAACAAAAAGGAATTACAGCATTGGAATTTGCTCAAACAACAGCTGGTTATCACTGAGGTGAAGAGTTCATTTGCCTAATCCAACCTACTGAGGTTAAGATGCCCCTCCACATGTGATGTGACTATGTGACATAGGAGTAGCAGCGAAAGTGTATCTCGCTGGTAGCTGTGTGTATGGTTCTTGCTTTATTTAGGAGAGGTGTATCTAGAAGGACAAGCATGGCATCTGCGATTTACGGATTGCACATGGCCGCTGCATCCTAAAGCGTTGTTTTCACCCAAAGGCATGGACCCTAGTATTGAACGGTGGTGAGCAACGATTCTTTACAACTAGTTTGGCCACCACTTGTGAGTAGGGCCTCTCATAATTACATTTTTTTTATCTTCTTTTTAATAGTAGTATCTTACAGAGAGAGTATACATTGAGACGCAAACCAACTAACCAAGTGCCAATCAGCTAACTCCAGAACCTTGACCTAGTGTTTTTAGGATTCTTTACCTGAGAGGATAAGCTAATCTTATAACAGTCGAATATTCTGCTGGCATGTAGATATATAAATTACTACAGTTCTGAAATCTATGCTTCGTTTTCCATTTTTAAACGAAACACTATGGATTGGGATCATGAGAGATTCTCTCACCACAGTTTTACTGTCCATAGTTGACCTCTGAGAGCTTCACATTTCCAAGACATATGCATAGCAGTGGATAAGATAGAAAGGGGTATGGTGCTGAGTGCCTTACCAGCTTAGCCAGCAGTAGGGAGATGGCTTGCACTGGCTGAGCACCAGCATGGAGGCCTCCAGCTTCTTCACCTGGCTGAGCACGGTGCCGAGCTTGGGCCCTTGGATCACAAGCGCTTCAACTTCCACCTACCACCATCATTCACACCCATTTTTTTTCTCTTCGTGAGCCATCATGACCTTCTTACAGGCCACAACACAACAAGACAAAGGAATAGTTGATGCACCTACTGTCACACTTAGGCCCTGTTTAGATCCCACCCAAAATCCAAAATTTCCCAAGATTCCCCGTCACATCGAATCTTGCGGCACATGCATGGAGCATTAAATGTAGGTAAAAAGAATAACTAATTGCACAGTTTGCCTGTAATTGGCGAGACGAATCTTTTAAGCCTAAATAGTCCATAGTTGGATAATTTTTGCCAAATACAAACGAAAGTGCTACAGTATCCATTTTCCAAACTGGAAGGGATCTAAACATGCCCTTAAGCAGGCAGGTGCAGAGACAAAGAAATAACTATGGCTTTTGATTGAAGCAAACAAAAACCAGGCAGGATGAGATTGCATTTCATAATGCCAGGGTTTATGATTTCAGATTTTAGGGGACCAGGGAGGAAATGAAGAGCCCCACAGTCTGTTGCTTACTTCCTTTGTAGTAGTAGAAATGGAGACCCAGGTTGATTGATATATATGGTGCCCTTTTGGTCTGTCTGGGATCGATCCTGATCCATGCAGACAAAAAAGTGGATTCTGATCTCATCTATGATCTCCCCAACTGGTTACAAGTCTAAAAAGGCAATCTTAAGGCCTCAGGTGATGAGTGACTTCTCCAGATTACCTAACAACCAGAATCCCTTTTTCTTCAACAAGAACTGTCATGAACCCATGAAGTACACATAGTATTATTGATCCTTTTTTTGTTGTTGGTGTCATTGTTTTTAATTAACTCCTACTTATTCTCTTGTTGGTGTAATTTTTTCACTAGTTAATTAACTACTAGTAATTCTCTTGTGCATGGCTCCAAGCATATGCTACCAAAAGAAGGTTAGCTGTAACCAAAGTTGGTTCAAATGTGCACTGCTTACGAGTAACGAGTACTAGCTAATTATAAACTAAGCTTCCACTAATCAGCAAATGCAAATGCATGTGCTGCAGATGCGCACCTCTGGTCTGGAGGCCTTGCAGAGCGTGCCGAGCGAGTTGGCGAGGGAGGAGGCCTCCTCGCCCCTGCCGCTGCCGGAGTGCGGCAGGACGTGGAGCAGCGTGAGGAAGTCCCCCTTGTTGGCGACGTGGGTGAGCGCCCACATCATGGCGTGCTTGGCGCCCGAGGTCTCGTCCACCACCACCATCACCCGCTTCCTCGCGGCAGAGGCGGCCTCAGCCTGCTGCTTCACGCCGTACCCACTGCCGCCGGCGCCGTAGCCCCTCGCGGCGGCGGCGGCCCGCTTCTTCGACCACCTCCGGGAGCCCCTCCTCCCCGCGCCGGAGCCGCCGTACTGCTGCTGGTCCAGCTGCAGGCCGCCGCAGACCCCTTCGTCGCCGCTGCCCGCGCTCAGCTGCCTCAGGAAGCGGTCCCCCGCGCTGCTCGCCATCTACCAGCTAGCTTCCCGGCCGCCTACTGGCTAGCTGCGTGCTGCGCAAATGCAATGCGCTCGAAACTGTGCGAGTGCGAGCAAAGCAAGCTAGGGTGGCGTGCTGGCGCAAGCTCTGCAAGGAGGAGGACGAGTACCGTGTGCGGTGTGATATGGCTACGTGCAGAGGGGAGAGCGCATCGTCGAGAGCTATATGGTTGGATGGCGAGGTGGAGCAAGGACAAGGCCGCGTAAAGCAGAGGTGGTCACGAGCGTATTGGACTAGCAGCGCCACTGCAACCTTATTAAAACTAGTACTCCTACCGATACAGACACAGTATATGCTAGTCACCTCAGCTAAAAAAAGGCTGGCAGTGAAAAAAAGGTGCTGCCTCTGTCTCAAATAAAAAAAAAAATCACCTTCGAAATTTTAAATTTAATTACAATTATATAAAAATAATAAAATTATGATTTCCAATAAATATCATTATATTGATTATTTTTAATAAGCCTATTTAGAAATATAAATGTTGATACTATTTTCTATAAATTTAGTTAAATTTAAGATAGTTTGACTTATTCCGGATCTAGATTTTTTTTTACTGAAGGAGTACTGCAAATTTAGGTCTAATCAAAATCAAACCATCTTAAGTTTGATTGAATTTATTGGATGTAGTATCAAGATGTATAACTCTAAAAAGATTTAC